TTGGGTCATTGTCCTGTTGCATCTCCCATCCTCTGCAGAGCTTCAGTTGGCGGACAGATGGTCGTACGTTTTCCTGCAAAATGTCTTGATAAACTCTGGAATTCATTTTCCCATCAATGACAACAATCCGTCCAGGCCCTGAGGCAGCAAAGCAACCCCAAACCATGATGCTCCCTCCGCCATGTTTCACAGTGGGGATGAGGTTTTGATGTTGGTGTGCTGTGCCTTTTTTTCTCCACACATAGTGTTGTGTGTTCTTCCCAAACAACTCAATCTTGGTTCCATCTGTCCACAGTATATTTTGCCAGTAGTGCTGTGGAACATCCAGGTGCTCTTTTGCAAACTTCAAACGTGCTGCAATCTTCTTTTTGGACAGCAATGGCTTCCTCCGTGGTGTCCTCCCATGTACTCCATTCTTGTTTAATGTTTTCCTTATTGTAGATGTGTCAACAAAAATGTTAGCATGTGCCAGAGATTTCTGTAGGTCTTTAGCTGACACTCTGGGATTCTTCTTTACCTCATGCAGCATTCTGCGCTGTGCTCTTGCAGTCATTTTTACAGGACGACCACGCCTAGGGAGAGTAGCAACAGTGCTAAACTTTCACCATTTGTAGACAGTCTGTCTTACCGTGGACACAGGAACATCAAGGCTTTTGGAGATACTTTTGTAACCCTTTCCAGCTTCATGCAAGTCAACAATTCTTGATCGTAGGTCTTCTGAGAGCTCTTTTCTGCGAGGCATGGTTCACATCAGACAGTGCTTCTTGAAACCAGTAAACCCAAACAGGTGTGTGTTTTTTTAAGGGCAGGACAGCTGTCAGCAACACATCCAATGTCATCACACTGATTGGAGTCAAGGTTGGCTCACTCCTGGCTCCAATTAGCTCTGGGAGAAGTCATTAAGCTAGGGCCTCACATACTTTTTCCTCCCTGCACTGTGAATGTTTACAAGTTATGTGCAATTACACCATGGCAACATCTAATGTTTGTGTAGTATTATGTTCAGCAGACTGTGTTCTTCTATTGTTGTGACTTAGATGACGTTCAGAGCACATTTTATGCCCAATTCTTGCAAAACTCCATGTAATCCCAAGGGGTTCACATACTTTTTCTTGCAACTGTATATATATATATATACTGTATATATATATACTATATTGCCAATAATATTGGGATTCCCCTCCAAATCATTGGATTCAGGTGTTCTGATCACCTCCATGGCCACATGTGCATAAAATCAAGCAAAGTGAAAGAAAAACGAGAAGCGCACCAACCTTGCGCTTTACCTCAGTAACCAAAATGTATTGATAAAAGAATGGTATTCACAAACAGCGAATAAAATCAGGCATGTAAGTCCTCCAAGGGACTTCAGAGACAAGAAGCCAGCGCGAATCCCATCATGGGGGTAGACACTCAGTACAGCTGATGCGTTTCGAAGGCCATGCCTTCTTCATCAGAGCTTTCAAAACACGTCATTTCCTTCTAAACGCGTCAGCTGTACTGAGTGTCTACCCCCATGATGGGATTCGTGCTGGCTTCTTGTCTCTGAAGTCTCTTGGAGGACTTACATGCCTGATTTAATTTTCTGTTTGTGAGTACCATTCTTTTATCAATAAATTTTGGTTACTGAGGTAATGCGCAAGGTTGGTGCGCTTCTCGTTTTTCTTTCACTTTGCAGTATTGGTTGGGCTTCCCCATCCTTGTTTGGAGCTGCACAACCTTTCATGCACTGGTGGTTGCTTTTTCTGGTTTTGGTTCCATCCACTCGCCACCGGCCTGGGTCCTAGAGCGCAGGAGAAATCGTATCTGGTCCACTGTATAAAATCAAGCCCCTAGGCATGCAGACGGCTTCTACAAACATTTGTGAAAGAATGGGTCGCTCTCAGGAGCTCAGTGAATTCAAGTGTGGTCCCGTGATAGGTTGCCATCTGCGCCACAAGGTCATCCATGAAATCTCCTTGCCAATAAACATTCCACGGTCAACTGTTAGTGGTGTTATAACAAGGTGGAAGCAACTGGGAACAACAGCAACTCAGCCATGAAGAGGTAGGCTACTTAAAATGACAGGACAGGGAGGCGCACAGTGTGCAGAAGTTGCCAACTGTCTGCTAAAGACCTCCAAACTTCATGTGGCCTTCAGATTAGCACAACAACAGTGCATAGAGAGCTTCATGGAATGGGTTGTGGACAGCATCAGTTGGTAAAAATAATTATCCCAGCAAATAACCAGTTGGATTCCAAAGAACCCAGCTAATCAATGTGTAATCAGCGAGGAATTTCAGCATAGTTTATATACACTTACAAATAGCATAACAGCAACTTCAGGCATTCCTGCCCTTTATAGTCACCAACCTTCACCATGCATTACAATTTATTACAGGTTCTATATAGCTTCATATATAGAACACATGAAGTACTAGGGAGCTATTGCCACTTGGTAGCCCTTTCCTGGGAAAGATACTATATTACTGGGTATAATGGTAATGGCAATTTTAAACACTTTTTCCTTCAGTAAATGTTGGTGCTACCTTTCACAGGCAGGGTTAGGACATACCCCACCCCCAGGCATGTTAATTAAAGGATTTGGGCATGTACAAGTAGATCTCCAAATATCTACTCGAGTACATTATAGTTTTAGATTTAGTTGCTTTTGTGTACAATTACTCTACTAACGCAACCTGTAACCATTTTGGACTTGACCAATTATTTCATATTTATGGTGGCAGACAGAATACCCTGGGAAGACTATTTATTAGGCAAATTGGGAAACTGTGCTGGGAGACACAGCAAATCTTCTGGCTATGGCACGTATTGATGTGAGGAGTTGGACTGCCTGTGCAACCTCTGTAGGGTCCAGGTATCGTCTCATGTTATCAGTAGTGACACTGACCCGAGCAAAATGCAAAACTAGTGAAAATTGATCAATCCTGAAGTACTGACAGCCAATCTAATTTCTTGAGGCCAAAAAATGTCAGAACAGTACAGATATCCCCCAAATGACCTCTTTTTACAAAGTAGAAAGTCCGACGTACTTCATAAGAGGAATGGCGAGTTTTTGTAATTTTTTTGTCATAATTTTTTGGAAAAAATGAAGAAATTAAAGAAAATATTTTCACAATGTTTTTTTTTACATACAGTGCAGTACAGCGTCATCATATAACTGGTGTGGCGGTGATCTGGTGACAGTATGAAATAAAAAATTGATAATTTTTTTTTCAATTTGTTCTATTTATTTATTTTTTTAAGATTTTGTTTCATATTACACTTTGACCATAGTAATATAATGTCACCATAGTAACACTGTACTACATTGGGGAAGTGAACAGTATTTTTTTTAAATACAATTTGATTGCTTATAGCAAAGAATTTCTATGCCATAGGCAAGCATTTAACTGAATGAAATCGATTCATTCAGTTTTTTTGTTGTGATTAACTGTGATTGGCTACAGCTAATCAAATGACAAAGATGGTCTGTGATTGGCCCAGCCTGTGCATGTGATCGCTGTGATCATTCACAGCTAGACACACTTGCATGCAATGGATGGCATGAAAGGAAGCCATCCATTGTATACAACTGTCATGTGACCTGCTGTGATTGGTCACAGCAGGTCACAAGGTACTAGCAAAGGGGCCGATACTCAGATCTGTCATCGGCTGTGTTACGAAATGCGTGATTCGGGAAGGACATCATATGACGCCCTCCCTGAGGGACAACGTTTTTGCCTTCATTATAGGCCGGGCGGCAACTGGTTAACAACCCCCTCTGCTACTTAACTGAACACATCAATATCCCAGGAGTTTAGATGACTTGTTGCTATACTCTGATTAAAATGTGTACCTTTAATTTTTTTTGAGCAGTGTATATATATATTTACAGTTGTGTTCAAAATAATAGCAGTGTGTTGAAAAAAAGTGAATAAAGCTGAAAATCCTTCTAATCCTTTTATTTCCATCCACACAAATGCATTGGGAACACGACACATTCTATTCCAAATCAAAACATGAAGAAAAATACATCAAATTTGTGTTGTTCCTCTAAAAAAATTGAAGAAAAGTGAATATTAGACGGTTCAAAAAAATCGCAGTGTTTGAATTCTTCTTTACAAACTCAAACATTCACTATATAAACTGAGAAATGTTTGAAGATTTTGCTTTCCTTTGAATGACTTCATGAATATTTGGTTGTAGTCGCACTGTTTCTGAGAACTGCTGTACATCTGTGTTGCATGGAGTCCCCCAACTTCTGGCCCCTGTGATCAGGTATTCCAGCCCAGGATGATTGGACCACATTCCACAGTTCTTCTCTATTTCTTGGTTTTGCCTCAGAAACGGCATTTTTGATGTCACCCCACAAGTTTTCTATTGGATTAAGATCCGGGGATTGGGCTGGCCACTCCATAACGTCCATCTTGTTGGTCTGGAACCAAGATGTTGCACGTTTACTGGTGTGTTTGGGGTCGTTGTCTTGTTGGAACACCCATTTCAAGGGCATTTCCCTATATATGATATATTCATTGTGTAAGACTGACTGTATTGGTAATCACAGGTAAAGCAATAATGTATTGTAGCTTTACTTGCTTTCTAGTTTTATAACAATATTACTACAATCAACAACATGGCAATCTACTGGTGTATTTTGGATTTTGATCATATCTGCCAAGGTAAAGTTTTATACATGGTCAGCCTATGAAATACATTCTGTTATGGCACGCAGCTTATTTTATATTAGAATGTCAGTTGAAATGAATGTTCCGGATGGTGCACCCAGTTTCATATTTTGTTATTGTAATAAAAGTCTATTCTGCCAACACTTCTAGAGGAAATCCCCCGGCTTAACCCCGATCCACCTAAAGTCCACTCATATCTACCTAACACACTTAGTTGCGCAGTTTTGAGCAAAGTTCGCGGTTCTTGGCAGCTAGAAGCCAGGACAGTCTTAAGAAATATAAATATGCTGGCAAATATGCATGGTTGACCTACTTTGTGCAAATACGTGGAAATCCATGTGCTTAGGACTAGAATGAGCTTTGGAACTGCCTTCCTACACCAAAAATGTAAGAGTTTAATATTGGTATGCTAACACTGTTCTGAAAAATAAAGGCCACAACCAGGGGCGGACTGACAACTCATGGGCCCCCGGGCAATAGGGGATCATGGGGCCCCTGTGTCCTTGCCCAAACTCAAAAAAGCCTATGAAAAAGGTACCAGGGGCATCTCATGGGGCCCCCTACTGACCCCGGGCCCTCGGTTTCCAAATGGTCAGTCCACCCCTGGTCACAACAAGAGGAGGAGCATGTCTAGATCTTAGTATGGCAGTATAGCTCTTTATTAGGAGATTATCAGAGTTATTTTGGCTACATTATGTTCTCAGCTAAATTACAGATTTGGCTTCAGTGGAAACTCTTGTTTTGTTTATTAAGCCGTTTAGATGAAATTTACTCTTTTTTCTTTATTTGGAGGGATGTAGATTAGTTTGTTTTATTTAGTTCTCCTCATAATTGTGGCCACTTCAGCTCTCATACCTTTGAACCCCTTAGGGCCCTTTCACACTGCTCAGTTGAAAAAACAGGCTACAAACTCTTACGTGTTTTTGATGATTTTTTTGGGTGTGTTTTTTGGTTGCCCGACTCCAATTATGCGCCTGTGAAACATGGACATGTGACTCAAAAAGCGCAGCACAAAATACTACATGTTGCATTTATGATGATTTTTCATTCATTGCAATGGTGTGGGTTGTTATTTTGTTGTGAATTTTAAAAATGCACCAAAAATGCAGTATGTAGGACTTTTAGAAATGCACCGCACTCACAGTAGTGTGAATGCATTTTTCATTTTTTTCCGCCTTGTAAATACCAAAAGCACATCAAAAACTGATGGTCCCTTATAGATCTGAACAATTTTTACATTTCTGTTTATTTAGCAATCATTTTGTCATGACTTAAAATAATAATTAATACATATAATGCAAAAATAATTTGCAACATTTTCTGGCAGTATGCACGTTTTAAAACGTGCTGTTGCAAAACAGGTAGGGGGTGCGCGCGAGGCACGCCGCCGCCCTACCTTCACCGCCGATCTCAGCCACGGGTGTCAGTCGCCGGGTCACAGCTGGTTGTTAGTTGCAGTAGCTCTGCTTTCTGTCAGTTCCCTGACAGTTCCTGACATGCTGACCAGGAGAAATGAGTTTCTCTGTCCGGATCTGCATGTCTCCCTGCAGTGCACACCCCCGCCCCCTCGTAAAACACTCCCCTCATACAGTTAACCCTTTCAGTGCAAAAAAAAACTTAACCCCTTCCTCCCCAGTGCCATTAGTACAGTGTCAGTGTTTTTTTTTTTTTTTGCACTGATCACTGTACTGGTGTCACTGGGGATGTCAGTGACCCCAAGTCAGTTTCCCCCCAGTGTCAGAATGTCCGCCGCAGTCCCGCAGTCCTGCCATAAGTCACTGATCACCACCATAAGTCGCTGATCGCCACCATAAGTCGCTGATCGCCGCCATTTTTAGTATAAAAAAAAAAAAAATCCCAGTATCTTTCCCGCCATTTGTAAACACTATAACTTTCACATAAACCAATTAATTTACATGTATTGGGTTTTTTTTTCAGGAAAGACATGTCGCAGAATGCATTTTGGCAGAAATTTATGACGAAATTTGATTTTTAAATTGTTTTATAGCAAAAAGTCCAAAATATTGTTTTTTTTCTCAAAATTGTCAGCCTTTTTTTTATAGCGCAAAAAATAAAAAACTCACAGGCGATCAAATACCACCGAAGAAAGCTCTATGTGTGAAAAAAAGGATGTACCGTATTGCATGACCGCGCAATTGTCCGTTAAACTAGCGCAGCGCTGTATAGCAAAAAAATGGCGTAAATTGCAGTATCTATACCATAGATTGTAGACGCTATAACTTTCACACAAAGCAATCAATATACACTTATTGGGATTTTTTTTACCAAAAACATGGAGCAGAATACATTTTGGCCTAAATTTATAACCAACTTTGAGTTTACTATATATTTTTTATAGCTGAAAGTAAAAAATATTGCTTCTCTTCAAAATTTTTGGCCTTTTTTTGTTTATTGCGTGAAAAATAAAAAGCGCACAGGTGATCAAATACCACCGAAAGAAAGCTCTATTTGAGTGAAAAAAAGGATGTACATTTCGTTTGGGTGCAGCATTGCATGACCGCGCGCAATTATCAGTTGAATTAGTGCAGCGCCGAGTAGCAAAAAGAGGCGTGGTCATTAAGGGGGGTAAATCCTCAGGAGGGCGAGGGGTTAATGGCCATATTTTCACAATGATGGGAACCAGGGGCGGACTGACCATTTGGAAACTCGGCACTGCCCAAGGGCCTGGAGTCAGTAGGGGGCCCCATGAGATGCCCCTGGTACCTTTTTCATAGGCTTTTTTGAGTTTGGGCAAGGACACAGGGGCCCCATGATCCCCTATTGCCCGGGGGCCCCATGAGTTGTCAGTCCGTCCCTGATGGGAACCTTTGATTCAGCAGCTAAATGAGGTCGGGGATGTATGATTGGTTGCTAGGACACAACTGTCATCTGCACAGTCGACAACATTTTAACAATCAATGATACTGTGCAGTTGACAGCATCATAAAAACCAAGAATGCTGTGCAGCCTGGGGGCCAAACATACACTGAGGATGGACTGTCCAGTAGGAACATTCCGTACTCAGGTGAGTGTTCCTGGCAGGTGCATTATTTGTTGCAGGCACTGCGTCATAGACACTCTACGGGGAATTAATACAGGGATTGTTATTTGGGGGCAAACTAGGCTTTCTTTTGACACTGATAAAAATAAATATAATGACTGAACAAGAAAAAAAAAAAACATTAAAAATATTTATTATTATTATTTATTTGAGGTACTTACAGTCAGGTCCATAAATATTGGGACATGGACACAATTCTAACATTTATGGCTCTATACACCAGCAACAGATTCCAAATGCAAATAGCACACTTGAAATGAACTCTGGACCTTTTATCTGCTCATTGTAATTGGGATAATGAGGGAATAACACACACTTGGCCATGGAACAGCTGAGAAGCCAATTGTCCCATTCCTTTTGGTCCCTTAACAAGTGAGAGGCACATATGCAAACTGTTGTAATTCCTACACCGTTCACCTGATTTGGATGTAAATACCCTCAAATTAAAGCTGACAGTCTGCAGTTAAAGCACATCTTGTTCGTTTCATTTCAAATCCATTGTGGTGTATAGAGCCAAAAATGTTAGAATTGTGTCGATGTCCCAATATTTATGGACCTGACTTTATATAGCGCCGTCACTTTATGCAGCGCTTTACATACACATATTGTACATTCACATCAGTCCCTAACCCTCAAGGGGAGTACAATCTAAGGTCCCTAACTTACATTCATACATACACACACACTAGGGCCAATTTAGACAGGAGCCAATTCACCTACCAGCATGTCTTTGGAGTGTGGGAGGAAACCGGAGTACCCCAAGTAAACCCACGTAGGCACAAGTGAGAGCGTGCAAATTCCAGGCAGGTGGGGCCATGCTTGGGATTCAAACCAACAACCTGAGTACTGCCAGGCGGAAGTGGCTAAATATAAAAGATAAATATTAATGGTAACAAACAAATAGAAAAAAATCATCAAAAAAAATCTAAGTGGAGGAAAGAGTGACATAGAGATGAAAAGTATTAACTAAGGGTTAATAAGGGGCTACTGGGAATACACTTTATTCAAATGTGGCTTGGGCTTGGGGCCCCTTAAGTTGCGCAAGCAAAACTTGCACCTTAGCACATGTCTCCCTCCCTGTCAGTGACTGACAGAGCGCATGGAGAGGAGAGCAGAAAGAGGATGCTGATTGGCTGCAGTTGCAGCCTGGGACTAAACCCTCCCCTAGCAACAGGAAAGGAAGATGTCTATTGGAATTCAGTTTGGCCAGAGGGTAGCCCAACTCACCAAAATCAACAGGGGGGATGAAAGAGCCCACATTGAATAGGAGAGAGCCCAAAGAGCAGAGGAAAAGAAGCAGACTTTGGCTGGAATGAGCGGGCCAGAGAGGTATGTGGTGCTGTCCATATGCTGAGCTGGTGGTTAAAAAACACCCGAATTTCACCTTACCTATTACCTCCAATGCATTTTCCAAAGTGCAGAAATCCCCTGATTTTTGTTTGAAATTTTGGGGAGAGTAAATCTCTAAGTTTGATGATCCCTACTCTCCGGCTTCCAAGTAAACATGAACATCTTAATTACACAACCCAAGTGGCTACAGTTGCAAGAAAAAGTATGTGAACCCCTTGGGAACGTGGAGTTTTGCATGAATTGGGCATAAAATGTGCAAAATCTAAGTCACAACAATTAAGAACACAGTCTGCTGAACATAATACTACACAAACATTAGATGTTGCCATGGTTTAATTGCACATAACATGTAAACATATCACAGTGCAGGGAGGAAAATGTAGTGAGGCCCTAGCTTAATGACAGAGCTAATTGGAGCCAGGAGTGAGCCAACCTTGACTCCAATCAGTGTGATTGGATGTGTGTTGCTGACAGCTGTCCTGCCCTTAAAAAACACACACCTGTTTTTGGTTTACTGGTTTCAAGAAGCACTGTCTGATGTGAACCATGCCTCGCAGAAAAGAGCTCTCAGAAGACCTACGATCAAGAATTGTTGACTTGCATGAAGCTGGAAAGGGTTACAAAAGAATCTCCAAAAGCCTTGATGTTCATGTGTCCACGGTAAGACAGACTGTCTACAAATGGAGAAAGTTTAGCACTGTTGCTACTCTCCCTAGGGTGGTCGTCCTGTAAAAATGACTGCAAGAGCACAGCGCAGAATGCTGCATGAGGTAAAGAAGAATCCCAGAGTGTCAGCTAAAGACCTACAGAAATCTCTGGCACATGCTAACATTTTTGTTGACACATCTACAATAAGGAAAACATTAAACAAGAATGGAGTACATGGGAGGACACCACGGAGGAAGCCATTGCTGTCCAAAAAGAATATTGCAGCACGTTTGAAGTTTGCAAAAGAGCACCTGGATGTTCCACAGCACTACTGGCAAATATACTGAGGACAGATGAAACA